ATCATATAATCATCAGCAACATGAGGAACAATCACTAACAATTTCAATGAGAATCATATTAATTTCATAATCAGGAATTTATGTACTCAATGTAATCATTTGAACATATTTGCAAACTTCAAATTACAAGTTGATCATAAACATCTGTGACCATTTTATAGATGCACCTTTTACTCATAAGGTATTACTTTGATCCATATGTGTCTAAATGAGCCCATATATAATCTTGATACATTATAAATATGCACGGATCTGATTTTGAGCAAAGCTAGTGATGTTCTCTTATTTAGTTTTTTTTAGAACAATCAGTATATAAAAATTCTTAAATCATATACCATTTTAAAGAATCTTCTGGTTCTTTAATAAATGTCAATGCATATTTTTCATTATATTTTGCATTATTATGATCCGAGATGATCTGACCAGTCATGCTAAACTATAAATGTATAAACTTCTGATTTATTATAAAATTATTTTCAATTATTGGTAAACTTCTTGTTACCATATCATATTATTCATTTTTCACCTTAATATTTCATAAGGAATATATTATCAATTATGAATTTTATCTTCGAGATAATAAATCATAATATAGCTCTTCTATAGCCTTATTTTTCATCGTTTACTCAATGGTAGAAACTTGTGCACTCATGGAGAGTCAAGCACCACTGACTCTTCTAGAGTCTTTTCAAAAGGAACATGAGATATAAGGAATGACATGAATATTAATGATAACAAATTCCATCTAACATGATTCACACTTGTATTCTAACAATCTTCTCAAGTGTGCGTCATATAAACATACTTTTTTTATTTATGTATTTCAAATAGAGTGAATGGCGTATAGTAAGCTAATAACATATCTTTAACTTAAAAATCTGAGTGCTTCTTAATTCAGATATAGTCATGGATTTTAATTCAATTAAACTATCATCTTAAGATCCTTTGATGAACAAACATTCTTATATATATATATATATATATATATATATCTCTGTGTGTGTGTGTGTTTGTGGGTCATAATTTTTATTATTAGTTCTTTTTCTGCCCATAAAGAATGGGGAGAACTACATTAGTTATTCAAGAACTATATTGATTTTGTTACCAGTTCTTCAGCAACTTTATCAATCTTTTGTTATTAGTTCTTTTGAAACTATATCAATTTTTTTATTACATATATTTCTTCAGAAAACATTATATATAGTTCTTCAGGAACTAGCATATATTATTATTTCACTATATGATATACTTCACTTCTTGTTATGCTTTTTTAAAATATGAAATATTTATTTTTTTTCACAACATATATATTTTCTTAATATTTCATTATTCAAAAACATTACTCTCTTTTTTGTATGTATTCTGTAACACTTCAAATCTTATTCATAAATTTATAAATCTAACAAGAATTGAAAAGATCTATAAGGACTAAAATCAAATTAGATAGTTATGAAGATTTAAATCATAAGCCTTCGGGGCTATTTATAAGTCATTAGTCTCTAAGACTCTATATAATAAATATATTTTTAGAATATCATTTATGTCACTCTTTGAACCATTAGTCTTCAGGGCTTTAAAAATGTTATAAGTTATTCTTTTCATGTCATTCAATAACATGAGTGTAATTGTTATTGGCTATTTAGTAATAGAAAATTATAATATTAATAGATATCAAATTGAATGTCAAGAATATATGAGAATAAGATAAAAATAAAATTTAAACTTTAAATTAATTAAAATGTAAAATATAAATGTGATATGAAATAAGAAGAAAAGGTAAACTCTTATACTAACACATCCTTCACTATATAGTCAACAGTTTCTCATTATAAAATATATTTGAGCCATTAGTCTTATGAGCTACATTATTTATAGCTTTCAAATAAAAATTCTAATTATCATAATTTTTTTTATAAACAAGCCATATAGTTAGCCATATAATGATCCTCCATAGAATATATGGCTTTAGGTCATTTAATAATAATTAAAAAAAGATATAAGGGTTCATAGACATTTAATTTGAAGATAGAGAATCAAAGATATATGATGTCTGGTCATAAGATAAAAAGTTAATGTTATATGGCTTCTAGCCATTTAATCTCAAAATTAAAAAAATTGAAGATATTTGGCTTTTTAGCCATAAGTTAGAAAGTTAAAGTTATATGACTCCTGGCCATTTAATAAGATAAAAAAAAATCAAATATATATGACTTTTAGCCATAAAATAGAAGATTAATGTTATATGACTTCTAGTCATTTAATAAGATAAAGAAAAATGAAACATATATATATATATATATATATATGGCTTCTAGCCATAAAATAGAAAATCAATGTTATATGGCTTCTAGCCATTGAATAAGATAAAAAAAAATCAAATATATATGGCTTCTAGCCATAAAATAGAAAATCAATGTTATATGGCTTCTAACCATTTAATAAGATAAAAAAAATCAAATATATATATATATGGTTTCTAACCATAAAATATAAAATCCAAATTATATGGCTTCTAGCCTTATATTAGAAGATAAAGAAAAATCAAATATATATGGCTTTTGGCTCTAAGATAGAAAACCACATCTAAATGACTTTTGGTTATTTAATAAAATAAAATATCAAATATATATGGCTTCAAGCCATTTACTAAAATAGAGGATTATATATATATATGGCTTCTGACCATAATATAGAAAATCAAAACTATATGACTTTTAGCCATTTAATTTGAAAAGAATAGAAAATTAGAGTTATATGACTTCTGGCCATTTAATCTCAATGAGATGAAAAATTAGAATTATATAGTTTATGACCATTTAACTTTAGATGGTAACCCTTTAAGGATACTGCAAGTATCCATTAGAACTTCAGGTTCCATTAAAATAGTGATATCAAGTCAATAAGGAATAGAGGGGGAAAAAATCCTCCCATCACAATTAGTTTAGAAGATATAATATCTATATCAAAATTAAATTCTAGCACTAAAATGTGAAGCGAAATCTCCAATTTTAGTCATGGAACCCAATGTATAAAACAATAGTAAAAGATCTTTTCAATTCCATATAATGGTTCAGATTATCCTAGAAGATCGATTACAGATATGAATACTTTGAAACACCACATATACAATGTTCAAGATATTTTCATTTGAATAGAACATATGATATTTTAGGAAAAAAAATCATAGAGGTGATATTCTAAAGTTATGTTAAGGATCAAAGGTATATCATGCGTACCTTAGTTAGAGCTTCGTGCTGATAGTGTTATAAATAAAGAAAGAAATAGAGAAGAATAATAAAGAAGAAGAGGGGATTAACAAGAGAGAGTATTTCTCATTCCATTCAAAAATACTCAATACATTATACATTGCTTCTATTTATATGTATAACGTTACATCTTTGATAGAATCTATAGATTATATAATAATAGGAGATAATTATGGGAAATATTGAAAATTATAAGAAATAATGGGAGATATATGGACATCCACAAAGATATTATTATATTCATAATATAATGGATATTAATATTTTAAAGAGTTTTTCATGGACACATAGATGACTTTAAAGTCGCAAATTTGACTTTTTCCTAATAAACCAAATCAAGAGGGAGGCGCACATTCTCTAGTAAGATTCCATTTCTTGCAAAATCAGCCTCCAACTAGCTACGTCCTTTGGCGCCTCATTAATGTAAAAAATTGTAGAAAAATAATAAATTCTAACTTGATATTATTGTTTCATATATTTTTTATTATTCTTTAAATTGGTAAATAATGCCAGTGAAAGCAATGTGTAAATTCTTCCTCTTTCGTTGTTCATGAAATATTACCATTACATTGATTCAGTTCTAAATGTAAATTACTTGTAAGCTGTAACACATTTCTTTTATAGCAAAAAATATATTAAATTGACAATTTTTTTTAATTTTATCTTTATTAAAGTTTTCTTTCTCTATTCTTAAATAGGAGTAAAATTAGGATAAACAAATATTAAATATACTACAAGTGATTTATATTTGGAACTGGAATGGTATATATATAATATATACGATAGATTTTTCTTTCAAGAATCATATTGATATATATTGTTTATCACATATATTAATTTCTGTCTTACAAATTATTTGAGATTTCGACGTCAACACTTAATGAAGTTTTATAGTGACAATTATTTTGAAACAAAAATTCCAAAAAAGTATGCTTGCTACAAATCTCCACCATATCTTGGCATAATTCCTTTTATATATTTAGCTAAGACAAGTTAATTATTCATTTAAATTTTATTTTAGGCTCTTTTCTTTTTCCTTTGTTTTTTTTTTTTTTGAGCTAGATATTGAGAGATGGACGGATATTTTGGACTAAATGATTATATATAAACCAGAAATTCAAAATACATTAATTACCTACTAGCCAGTACATCGAATGTCAAACGAGACAGCTTGATTTCAATTTGTTTTTATATTCCATTTATTGAGATTTAATTTGATTTTTCTCGATGGCCAAAAAACTTGATTTTTCTAGATAAGATCCATTGAATTGGGGACTCTTCCACCCATAATTAGTCAAATCAATTAATAGCCTATATCCGTATACTTTTGACGCAACCAAAACAAAAAAAGATATCTACTTCATTGATTTTATTTATAATCTTAAAACACATTCTCAAAATTTAATAACCTTTTCATTTTACTCTTAATATATATAAACTTTAAAAAAGTATACATGAAAATAAAATAAAAATAAAATTATATTTATATAATAATTTAATGAGGTGGCTTATATTAATAACAAAAAATTTTTTTTTCTTTGCCCTATAATTATGTACATGACTAACAAGCTCTAATAACTTTTTATGCAGAATACACACACACATTCCTTCATATTAGATATTCATGACTAACAAGATCTAATCACATTTTATACAGAATACACACACACACATATATATTCCTTCATATTAGATATTCATAGTGATCAGTTCGTCCATCACAAGAGCAAAACAATGAAAGAAGTCGAAGTAGAAATCATTTCCAGAGAAGACATCAAACCTTCGAGTGCAACACCTTCTCACCTAGGAATCTTCAAACTCTGTCTCTTGGATCATCTCATTCCTGCTCCTTATGCTCCAATTATCTTCTTCTATCCCTCACATACCCTCTCAGCAGAAAACCCTAAGAATAATATCCTTCACCTTCTGAAGCAGTCTCTATCAGAAACACTAACCCTCTTTTACCCTCTCGCAGGAAAAATCAAAGACGATTTCTCCATTCACTGTAACGATGAAGGAGCCAACTTCATTGAAGCTAAAGTTAATTGCTCTCTTTCTGAATTCCTTACCCACCCTGACCTCGTCTCACTGCATAAACTTCTTCCCTGTGACCTTAAGATTCCCATGGAATCATACGTAGGATCCTACATTAGTAACATCCAAGTCAATGTATTTGATTGTGGTGGAATCTCTATTGGTTTGTGCATTTCACATAGGATTCTTGATGGGGCTTCACTGAGCAGATTTCTCAAGGTATGGACGAGTATGGCTACTGAAGAAAATCACAAGGAACTAGTGGTGAAACCAGAGTTACTGATGGCGTCTTCCTTGTTTCCGATGAATAGTGATGATAGTTTGTGGTTCAGAGAATCGTCTATGGCTATGTGGGGTTCTATGTTTAAGAAAGGAAAGTTTGTGACAAGAAGGTTCTGGTTCAGTAATTCTGCCATAGCTGAACTCAAGGTCCAAATAATGGTTGATTCTTCAGTATGTGGTGATGATGATGATATGGTGAAAAATCCTACGCGTCTGGAGATTGTTTCTGCAATTTTGTGGAAGTCTTTCATGGATGCGTCCAACGCACAATCTGGTAAGTGATGAATGGTTTTACCAAGTAGATTTAATTAATTTAATTATGTAGCTTCAGTTTTGTTTAAATTAAATAATTAAGTTATTGTTGCTAGCCATTAACTTTCGGATTATAATTTGAAAATCAAACCCTCCCAAAAGCTGACCTTTGTTGTTATTGTGTGTATAACTTGGTGTGAGTCTTGCTTTATTTTAATGCCATACTGGTTATGATAGAGAGGAGACTTTAGTTAGATTGCCAATTTTTATCTACTTTCAAATATATATTACTATCTTTTGTACTTAATATAAAAGCTAGATAATTAATTTGCAAAAATTAAAAAAATTAATTTAGTTAGTTATTCATAATAAATGAGTGTTATCTTTCTTAAAATATATATCCTTAATCATGTACATTAGAATAGAAACCCTTTAACATATGTAATCACCATGAACACTATTTTAGGAGGAAATAAATAAATGTGAGAGACAAAGTGTATTGAAATCTTATATTTAAAACCAAAATGAATATCCAACAAGCTATTATATTTAGGACCAGAGGTAGTATGATTTATCAAAAATTTCATGTAAAGCATCACCTATTATAAAGTTTTCCATTAGTTCTCAAAATCTTTTGAAATTATTTTATGAATTCATGTGCCGCTTAATTAATAATTGCTATAGTTAAATAATTGATGTTTAAGAAAATTCACATTGGGTATTACATTTAGAATAAAAAACTTTCTAAAAGCAGCAAGTACCACTAGAGGGAGTGGTCAAAAAGAGACAGAAAAGATGCGACTTCCATATAAATAAAGCGCACTTTGTTCTGCTTTGTCTTTTCTATTGTGTACAAGAAAAATGGCCAATTATTGTATCTCGGATGCACCTGAAAAATACTTCAGGATACTAGATATAGCATAAAATACTTTAGGGTATTAGATGCATTACAAAATACTTTAAGGTACTGGATGCACCAAAGAAAATACCTTGACCGGGATGCTAGATGTACCTTAACTCTATAAGTTATGCTGTAATTAAGTAATTTTTTAACCTTCTTAATCTCTCTAAATTAGTCAATTATGTCTTATATTAAAGACCGAAAGTAAAATATTAAAATTGTATGTTTTTTATTTCAAAAATTTATGTTCACCTTTTCTTCTGATGATTTACTTTCCTCTATATATATACACATACTCAGATTGCTGCAACAAGAGTACCCAATTGAAAAGAGCTTCTTTGGTGAGTCAACTGGTGAACCTGCGTAAAAGAATAAAAGACGATGAAGCCAACCTGGGTTGTCCTGCAGAAAACGCCATTGGAAATCTTCTCTGGTTAGCTTTTGCAAAGTCCAACATGGCAGACAACAAGAATAATAATAACGAGACAAGATTAGATGGGTTGGTGAAGAAACTAAGGAAAGCATTATCAACAATAGACGATAAGTTCATTGAAAACATGCGAAGTAACTTTACTAGGAAGTCAACAGTGGTCCAGTCTCTGAATATCAAATCAATAATGATAGGTGATCAAGAAAATGAAGAAGAAGAAGAAGTTGATTGTTTAGGGTTTAGCAGTTGGAGCAATTTTGGGTTCTATGAGGTTGACTTTGGTTGGGGCAAGCCCTTGTGGGTTAGCAGCATTGGCTCGTATGGTTCATTGTTTATGAACCTCGTCATTTTGGTGGATTCATGGTTTGGTGATGGAATAGAAGCTTGGGTTACCTTGGATGAACCGTTCATGGCTCATTTGGAAACCAACCCTGAGCTTCTTGGTTATGCTATATTGGATCCAAGTCCTCTGGCAACTGGTAAACAACTAGATTCTGGGCCTTGGGCTTTGTACAAGATCTGATACTATAAGTGATATGAATAGAAAAACTTGTTAATTGTTATTGATGTTTATGCCATACTTGTGATGAAGTTTCTTTACCTCAATAGAAGCTATAATCTGATTTTTATCTAGTTTTGGCATGATATGATTAATCAAACGGAAAAACAATGCTAATCCAATTTTTAATGTAAGATATATTTAACTAACTTGATTAGATTAATAAAGTTTCTTAACTTAATTATTTACTATAATAAATATGATATATTTTTCCTAAAATACATTTATTTAGGAAAAGAACTCATCACTTGGCTGAGGGAATATTGATATATGTGATTTGTGGGGAAATGGTAAATATGAAAAATATGTCTTACATTTAGAATTAAAACTAATTCTTTAGCTAAATCCTATGTTGAGGATCTTAGGAGTAATTTTTTATTTTAACAATTTAAAACGCATCCCCTATGGAAGAAGGGACCCACACACGCACCTCACTTTGAACCACTTGGGGTATAGAGCTCACAACTTCCTCTTGATAATTAAGATCTCTATTTAACTCTTAATTCCAATTACATACCTCTAATTATCATCAAAGAATCACTAAGGAACTGCTACATTCTCAAGTGGGTTTTGTAACATTTTATGTTTATACCAAATAACTTGCCTTGCGGAAGCATTTGGAATCACTTGTGAAGACTCCAAGTTATAAAAAATCACGTTTGAAACTTTATATGACCCTTAAGTATGAGAAAATACTTAAAAATTTGAAACTTTTTCATTTTCCTAGTTCAGGTAGCGACTTAGTGCTTCTAGGTCGCGACCTCAACTTCTCAGGTTGCGACCTCAAGTCATAGAATGCTTCTGCGTACTATTCACATTTCACTGAAATTTTTACCAACTTTAAAAATTCATAACTAATTGTAGAAAAATTGAAATTGAGTGATTCCAAGTTCTATGAAAAGCTCTTTGGATAAACTTTTGAGGAAAAATAGTTTCTGAACTGGTTGCCTTGAAATTTGAGTCCATTTTTCTTTGAAAATCTTACTGTTCATTTGGTCATTTTTGGATTTTTACTTTATTTTTGCTTAATTTTAGAAAGGCATAACTTTTTGCTCGGTTATCGGAATTGGGAAAACTACCTCTCATTTTAAAGAGAAAAATAAGATCTCTTTGGTCGCCAAATTTCATAAACTAACTCACTTGTTTACTCAAATTGTCATTAGTCAAACTTTAATCCCTTTCAGTTGACTTTTTACCCCCTGGAAGGGTAACTTAACTTAATTGACCATTTACTATCATAATATACTCTCATTAGCTATATTAGCTATTTCTAATCATGCTTGTATACTTCTAACCTTAGTCATACTATTGGAAACTTAAAGCATGCTTAATATTACATTTTTCCAGAATAGAAAGGTTCAAAGCCATATAATGGGGGTGTTTGGATATAACTAAACCATGATTTGGAGAATAACTTCTGGAGAATAGATTCTGGGGAGAATAGATTTTTTGAAGAAGTGATTCTGAGAAGTGAGAGTGTTTGGATAGTTGTTACCAGAAGCACTTTTTACATGTACAAATTACTAAAAAAAGCATAAGTTAATATGATAATTACAGAAAAAATATATTTTATAATATATTTTAATTTGAAGGAATAAAATTGTTAATAATATATTTTTTATTAACTAATTAATAATACATAAGATAATATATTAATAAATAATTAATATGTATATATATTCATAAGATATAAGATTAAATATATTTATAAAAAAATATGTTTATAAAAAAAAAAACAAGATACATATCCTATAGGCTCACACTCTCTCTTTTTTGCTTTTCCCAAAACCATGGTTTTGACTCAAAACCATGGTTTTGGTTTTTTTAAGGGTGTTTGGGTGATTTTTTCCCAAACCATGGTTTGGGTTATCATCCAAACACCCCCAAAGTTACTATGGCTTACTACCTCTTCAAGTAAGAGCCAACTCCTTTCCTTTACCCTTAGTAGTTGAAGGCCCTAGGGTTTGTTTAAACATTGGGGTAAGATTCTTGGGGAACCTTAGTAGCAATTACATACATTATCAAGGTCACACAATACATTGTAAATCAAGCTACACGTATGCATACTTTAACTTTATGTTCATGCTATGACAAGGACATATCATCATAAACATTCATGGCACTCAACATAGCATAAGCCAAGGCATAATTTGCATAGAGGAAACATCATATAACATAACATAACATTCATCCACCTCATAGCATAACAGGTTAGCAAAACACAGCCATAATCATACAAAGTAAGGTGACACTCTAATATAATGAATTGCAAAGCTACCTTGAATGCTTTCCTTCCTAGAATTTCTCTTCTTCCTTGCTAACCTTTCCTTCTCTTGTTGTGTATGGCCTATTAGGCAACCAATGACACAATATTAAATATTGTTACAACTTCATAACTTAACATAACCCCTTAAACCCATTTTTCTTGCTTCTTAGGGTTTATTTTTCTAGCTTTGATTCTTGAACTTTCTTGGGCCTTTCCTATACAACTTTTCATGTAGAATCCATTTACCATATTAGTTTTATGAAAATCCAATCCCTTCCCTTTGAACTTGACTTGGCCGAACCATATATATAATTATAGGGAAAAGGATTTTCAATCAAACTAACATATAATTACTTAATCCTTAACCTTTAACCATACTTAATCTTAACCATACATAACCTAAACCCTTCTTATCCATTTTGAGGAAATTTGGGCAGCACTTTCCCTTAGAAAAATGACTTTTCATCATTATTAAAATAGCCTAAAACCAACATATCATCATTATAACTTGAAATAGAAGAGTTGTAGAAGCTTACCTTGCTTCCAAATGACTTTCTCTCACTAGAACTCTTCTCTTTCTCTCTCTACATGAAAATTTGCAATAGGTTTCCTCCTTGAAAGGCTTCACACAAAATGAACATGTGGGAGGGGGTATTTATAGGCTTCAAATTTCATTAATTCCACATATGTCCTTCTTGCATAAGACTTAATCTTGGCTCTCCAATTTTTTACCTCTTTCCAAATGTACAAATCTTAGGCTATGTGGCTTAGTGTGTTGACACTTGGATGGTGAGTCATTAGGGCTCATGTCATCTCTTCTTATCCAATAAGATTAATTAGGCTTTAATCAAGATTAACTCTCTTAATTCCTTGATTAATTTGGCTAATTACCCTTCTAGAAACTTTTGACTTTTCAAAGATAGATGGTTAAATCCTAGCCATCTAATAAACTATGTTTGCCATGTGTCAAGATCTTATGGAAGATGGCTTAACCTTAATCATCTTACTTATCCCTAATTAGATTTTAATCTAACTTGATTTATTATTTTCTTTTCCTTTTTCTTTTTATTTTCTTTTTTCCCTTCTTGGCTAATTTGGGCATGACATGTGTCCTTAGCAATCTATAGGAAATTTTATCACCCCTGTTGTCTTAACAGTCCACTGAGTCTTAATATAGTACTGGTTTATTTTATCTGATAGCTGAAAAATTCTAGTATCTCAAAATTTTTATATCAACTCACTATTAATTATATCTCAGTAAAGGGAACTTTCCTAATTAATTTCATAATTTTTTCCCCTCTATAACTCCTTAAATTGCCATTTCTGTAAAAACAGACAATCTACCGATATTAATTTAGCTCTAAATTCAATTAAAGCTAACCTCCTCATCATTTAGGGTTGGAAATAATTTTATAAATTCCTAAATAAGTTTATTTTAAATTTTCATAATTTTCTCAGATCTCTAAATATTTTTAATAATTAATATTGGCTAATTTTCCTTAATTTAGCTAGAATATTACTCCCTCCGTTCCTTATTATAAGAGACATTTGATGCTTATGGCATGTTCCTATATATAAGACACTTACAAGTTGTCTCTACTTTTTTGTGTTGATTTACTATTTTACCCATATTTATTATCTCCAACTCACACTCTCTCCCTCCCACTTCTCTTTCTTTTAATAATTAATTGTTCTCTCTCATGCTCTCTCTCCTTATTAATGAGGGTATTTTTGGAAAAAAAATTATACTTTTTACACATTAATTGTTCTTAACTAATTTTAACTGTTTTTTTTATCAACGTACTTCGGTTATTTGTCTCTTATAATAAGGAACGGAGGGAGTAATAATTAAAATAATTTTTTAATAAATTATTTTCAACCTGTATTTACTTTCTAGACCTCAAATACTGTTTCACGACATTAATTCTATTTTTCATGATTTACTAGAAATTTTTAGGATTTCTGGACACTAATTATGATAATACCCTTTATAGACCAATCATTTTAAAAATGACAATTTGGTCCTTTTTCAGTTCTCACCTCAATTATTATGCTATTTGTCTAACTTTTATCTCACCTGGTCTTGGTCAACCCTAAATCTTTCATTAATCATGCTAAAGATATCAGGGTATGACATATTTTCTTATTTCTAGGTTAGAAACTTTGGGATGTTACAGGTTTCCAAGTGATTTATATATATGGAATTAATAAATGATCATATACTACTACTTCTGGTCCTTAATATAAATACTAATTAACTAATTTAAGTAGATTAAGAAAATTAGTTTAGATATTTGTAATAAATAGGTGTTGTCTTATCTAAAATGCCGTTACTAATCAAGTATCATTTAATTAAACATTTAATATGTGCAACTAGAGCTGGTAATATGGGTTGAGCCCGCGAGCTTAACCCACCAACCCGCTAACAAGTGGTGGGTTGGGTTGATAAAAATTAGGACCGTATAAAAATGGAAGTTTTGAGCCCATAACCGCCAAGCCCAAACCCGCGGCGGGCTAACTCACAGGGTTGGCAGGCCAACCCGTTTAACTTTTTTTCCTTTTTTTTTTTTTTGCAAATTTTTCCCTTTACCTCTCAGTCTCTACACTCTTGGCCCAATCCACAGTGCAACAGTGAGCAGTCCATGTCCAACAGTCTAACACGACAACACCAACACGGTCCCATTTTCACATTTTGCTT